TTGGGGCAGGATGGGGCTGCCCTGCACGGCTGCTGCGAGGGATGAGGTGAGGAGGGCCTGAGGAGCTGCCGCTCTGCTGCCTGTGGGTGCTGTGCTGGGCCGGGTGTAAATGTGGGACTTGTGTGAGGTGGAGGAGCAGAAGCGGCAGCCGAGGGAGGGGGCCAGAGGCTGGCACGTTTCTCTGTGCGCTGCTGCAGCAGGTCTGGCAGGATTGCAGCAGCGTCGGCGTTGATGGTGGCTTGAGATGCTGGGTTTGCTCTCTGCAAAAGAAATATGACGGAAACATTTGTTTTGCTCTTCAGAAGAAGTAGTTAATGAATCCTTTTCTTCTTTTATCCATGCTGGAGCAGTGTCCCAAATTGTTCCTTCTCATCCTGTCCTGGAGGATGAGAAGGGAAGCCTGAGGCCTCAACCAGCTTCTCTGGCTCAGAAACAGAAGACGTTTCTGATTCAGGTGGTTCAATTTTAATTTTTCTTGTCTCTGTTTAACAGAAGTTCTCACACAGACACACTTCTGTGATGAGCCATCTTTGCCCTCGCAGTCAGCAAGTGAAATCCAGTGGAACTGTCAGGGACTTCTGCTGGGAGATGCTCAAATGTCACCGAGATGCCCACATGTCATTACGTCACTGGGTGATGCCTAGGGCCTGGCTGGTTGCAGCAGCAAGAGGAGATGTAACTGACCAGCACTTGTTGCTGGTCCTGCACAGAGCCACGGGTGTTTGAACTTGAGTCCAGAAACAAAGAAAACTGTATTTAAAGAGTTGAAGGAGTGTTTGGACAGGACTCTCAGACACAAGGTTTGGATTTGGGGTGGTCCAGTGTGAAGCCAAGAGCTGGACTCTGTAATCGTTGTGGGTGCCTTCCATCTCAGGAAATTCTGTGACTCTGTGACCTGACCTCAGTCACAGTGGCCTGGTTTCCCAGCCATCAGCATTTCCCATGAGTTTCATGGGCTTGCAAATAGGAGAAGGCCAAACTGAAAGCTGGGCACTTCTCTCTATAGAGAGTGTGGTGCTTTTGCTTTTCCTTTAATTAGCTGCATTCCTAGCTGTCTCCTAAAATATGTTTTTGCCATTCTTGCAAAACAGTACTTGACTATTTGATGTGCTGCTGTTAACGACTCCCCAGCGATAGTTCCAAGCTCACTTTTACTCATTGGAGCACTTTAATAAGGCTGAGGTTTTCTTACAAGCTCTATAAGCATCTCTGTTGTCATCCTGCTGATTAAGATTAGCAATACAGGCACCCTGCAGTTCTTGTATCATGTCACTTGTAGCTCAGATTTGATCTCCCTGCTTTAGACTTTAACAATTATAGCAGCTTTGCTAATACTGTGGGAGGGGAAGAAGGAAATGCAATCTCAGCCACTTCCTGATGCAGCCAATATGTCTCCCAGCTGTCACCACAGGAGTACAGCTGTGCCAGCTCCGTGCAGGTGTTGGAGGCACGGAGAGCCACCAACCTGTCCTCTCCTGTCACCAGAGTGCTCTCACAGCATGTGGTCTCACTGCATTTTGGCAAATCGTAAATTTAGGTATTGCCAGGGTTGGGAACCTGTGTGCTGAAAAGTCCTGAATGAGGTCCTACTTCTCTTCCTTCCTCCAACTTTGATCTGATAAGACTTTTTAAGCACACGCATTGCTTTCTTCCCACTGTCCAATCATGCAGCTTTTTCTCTGAATTCACAAAGTTCATAGAAATTCTCTTAAAACCCCCTAATTCAGCATTGGCAGCTACATGGAAGCAAACCAGTAGTTCAACGATGGGGAAGACACGCAACTACACTATAAGCTGGCAGAATGGCTGTCTGCTTCCCAGTCCTGAAATACTGACTTTCACTTTGGCAATGTCTTCGCTTCTGCTGATAGTGAGATGGCTATGAATGATTGGCAGAAAGAAAAGTAGTGAAGACGGATGGGTCACCCCCTATCCCAGTGGAGTCTGCATACTCTGAGCAGAAGAGGGGGTGAGTCCTTTGGAGCAGCTCCTTTTGGAAAAGGGAAGATGCAGAGCAGCTCCTGGCACATGAACTCAAGTGGTTTGGCTTTAATTCTGTTCAGTTTAAGGCCTGAGAATCTCTTTTAGCACAGATTTTCTGAACTGTTGTCCCTAGAGTGTACAGGGTATGGAAAAGCTCCCTCCTTAGGCTCAAGGCCAGTTTCCAAGTACTGGTACCAGAGAGAACATTTTGGCAAAGTGCTGACTCCTTCATTTTCCCCATCATTGTCCTTATGAAAACCACCCTTTCCTGAAGCATTATCGTGTTCCTTCTCTTGAAACAATGATCCATAGATTCAGCTCTTTCCATTTTAACCTGTTCCGATGTTGTTTACGCTGGCGGAAATCAGGACCAATGCCAGCACAAGTTCACAAGGTGGCTAACACCAGAGATTTTCCTCTGCTCTCCCACATCCTCAGAATACATTTTTACTGTCCACCACTGTTTCTCTTCTGTTCCATCCTGAGGTTGTTGCATGGCCCATGCGTGAAGATGCTTTCAAGTCTCCACCATGCAGGACACCTCCCAGAGGAGAGGGGCTGCAGCCTTTCTGTGCTCCTGCTGCCCTGCGAGGAGCGAGCATGGCTTGGCATTGCTGCAGCCTGCCTTTGGGCTGGTAGCTTAGCCTTGAGCAGCCAGGGCCGGTGATTGCCTATCTCGATAATAACCGTGTGAAAGCTGTTATCTAGTCCACCCTTCTACCTTCCAGCCATTGTGTGGTGGCACTCGTGCATTACTTGGCTTGGCAATCTCCACTCATTTCCTCGGAGCTGGATCAAAATCGCCTCTGATCTCGCTGCCCATTTCCTTGCCCAGCTGGGCACAAAATCACAGGTCTGCATCATTGCCAGGAGCATCCAGCTTCCTTCCATGGGCTCCTTCCAGCCACTGTTTTGCTGGCTGAACCCTCTCCAAATACAGCACCTCAACCTACTTACTGGGTTTCCCAGAGCCACGTAAGCCTCTGCAGTCTTTGGGCAATCTTCCTAAGCACGCTCTCTTTTGCTCTTTCTTTTTACCTCAGACCGGTCTCCTTACAGCTAACAGGAGTTGTTTTCTGTCTGACCGCAGACCCATCTTGAAACAAGAGAGAAGAGTGCTTTTACTGGAAAGTGGAATTCTGAATTCCAGGTTATATATATACATAGTATGGACAATGAAATTGGTTTCTTGGCATCTTCTTACATTCCTCCTTCTGGTTAGCTCTTCTGTGAATTACCTACCGCTCCCTTCCACAAGTCCCACTCCTCCTTCCCTCTCATTATTTGTGCTTAATGAGGCTCCCAGCTGTGGCTCTTCTTGCTGCTTCACTTTCAGCTTTCAGCCTGAAAGGGGAAAGATTCCAGTGGCCAAAACCTCATCATCTTCCAGTTGTATTAGTTCATCTAATGAAGAGGATTACCTCTACCCACCTCCATTACATAACATATGTGAGTCACCCAGAGCTCAGAAGTGTTCTATCTGGCTGAGGTGCCAGCACACAAAAGGCCATTGATGTCCCTGTTATTTAATGGGAGCCTCAGGCCTCAGCAGAAGCCCAGACAGGGTGTGCGCTTCGTGTGGGCAAGAACCCTCCAGCCTATACAATGCCCTTCCTCACAAGCATCCCAGTCCTGGACCTGCTACAGCAGCCCATGAGCTTTCTACTGTTGAGTGCGTTCATGTGAGCTTAGGAACCTTTAGCCTCTGTCAAATAGGTCTCATAGAGACGAGCTTTTTGAGCCTCCAAGAAAAGCAAAGGTGACATTTGGCATTCATGGCAGGTGGAAGTCCCACCTGTGGCGAACCTGGTAAAAACTTGCTACCTGCTGGCTGCTGCAGGAGGGATCCGTTTGCTGCAAACCACATGTTGAGATGGTGTTGGCTAAAAACCTTTCCCTTCAGGAAGCACAGCCATCTAAATCGTGTGGGTAGGGATCAGGTGGCCGCACACCCGAGTTGTGTTTCACAGAGAGCGTTTCAGTTTTTTCCCTGTGTGGCAGAACATGAATCAGAGAAATGACAGGCGAGCAAATCTGCAGCCAAGGAAAACTGGGAGGTGCTGAGCTAACCAAAAGCCTTTTTGGATAGGGAGATGCTGCTCGAGTGTCAAGAGAAGGGAACACACGTGGGTGTGAAGATGTTTGGCACCTCCGGGGCTCCATCCTCCTTTGGGAGAGGCCAGGGAGGAGAAATACCCCCAAATATTTGTTCTCTTGCTTGAGTCTGAGTGGGATTGTGTGCGTGTGTGTTTGCAGTAACAGGGAGTGAAGATCAAACCCATTTCCTTGGCTTTGAAGTTTGGGCTGCTGCTGAGCTCTGTTCAGGTAGGAGTGAGGGCTTTGCCTGCTCAGCACAGGAGCTAGGCAGTGTAAGAGCTCAGCCAAACTAAATCAACAGCAGGTCTTTTTCCATACATAGCCCTTTTTATCTCAGATCTTTTATGTGCATGCAACTCTAGTGGTTCCCAGTGTGTTGGGCAGCATCTTGCTTTTTGTTTTTGTTTTCTGAAAGGATTTCAGTTAATGATAGCTGCACAAAGCACTTTGTCCTTCTCTCCATATGTGAATTCATTCCACTTGCTGGGATATTCCTGTTCCTTCCACAGAAAGGACTCCAGAACAACTGCAGCTCCCCAGAAATCCTGCAGTAATTTGGGCTTAGGCCACAGAACTGCCCTGAAGTCACCCTGACTGAAGTAACCCAGATTCTGAGTGAAACGAGGGGAGAAATGTTGGGGGCTTTGCGATTCACAGTGCCACTGCCATCACTGAAACGTGAGACCAAGCTCTTGGCGTTGTGCTGAGAGTCATAGGGAGTCATTCCAGCTGTATGCCCAGCCGTTCCCTTAGGTTCAGCTGAATTGTCTCTCAGTACGCTTGTGGGGTGGTTTTTTTTTCATGTGCGTGTGTGGTTTTTTTAATCACTTTTTAACAAAAACAAGCGACGAAAGCTGGCTGGGCTGCTCTCAGCATTGGCCGGAGCCGCTTGGGCCCTCCCTGCGGCCGCTGGAAGCCGCGAGCAGCCCGGGGCCGGCTTCTTGGCCAGACGCTGCTGATTAAAGCCGGGTGTCAGGCCGAGTCAGTCAGTCCCGCTCAGCTCAGCGCTCGGCATGGCGCTGCGGGCAGCCTGCCTGCTGCTCTGCCTCGTCTCCCTCGCCCACGTCTCCGTCCAGCAGAACGGCAAGGGCAGGCAGAAGCCGGCGGCCTCCAAGAAAGGTAAGGGCCGGGTCTGCGGGATCCTGCCTGGCGTGGGGGGCGGTGGGCACAGTTAGGGGTGCTCTAATGGAGCTTTTAGCTTTTAAAAACCCAAGGAAGTCTCTCTTTTTCTTTTAACGCCTGTAGGGATGCTTTCATAATTTAGAAAGGATAGAGAAGTGGTTTGGGTGGGTTGCTGTACTGAATGCATGCGGTGGGGCAGCCTGAGGGTCAGAGGGCACCGTGTTCTCTGTGTCTTCTGTAAGGCTCTCCCCAAAATTCCCCTCTGCTGCGGTCTCCCTTCCTCCAGCCCCTACCTCTGCTCATTCATTTTCCAGAAGCTAAGTGGCAGCTGTGGCAGGGCTGCAGCTAGGAGCAGGCAGTGGTACATCACCTATTACAGGCAGCACGGCTCATCATTTTCAAGTGCTTTCCTTCTCATTCCTCCTCTCCGCAGCCCAGAACAGACACCCAGAGCACAGAGCAAGCGGTGAGCTGCTCTGCAGGCACTTTGCTCTCTTAGGAGCAAACGAGAGTGGGAAGGAAGCATCCCAGGAATTCGTTTGGCCCTGCTCTCCCAGCAGCTATTTTTGTCAGATCCCATCCTTGAGAAACTTTTTCTCCCAGTGGAGCTCTCTATGAAATTGGTGCAGATCTGTTTAGTCCACAGAAGTGGCTTCGTCCTGTGTTGTATAGCAAAAATACCACCTTGCATTTCTGGAGTGTAGCAGGAGGGAATCTCATTTCTTAGGGAGATCTTATCTATCACTGGAAGTGATGGGAGCCCCATCTCTTGGGGCTCCTCTTCTTCCCTTGCCACCTCCAAGCCCCGCTCATGGTAAGGATGGGATGTCACTCTCCTGTCCCCCATCCTTGCTCCTGTCCTGTTTGGTGGCCAGATGAAGGGAATGAAAACCACCAGCAACCACCTTGCATTCCCCCTGCCCTTCACTGGGGTGGCTTGGACAGGGCAAAGTCATGGGAGTGTTGGGGCATTTTGTTGGGTTTGTATTTCTTAATCTGTGTGGCCACGCCACAAACAGAAGAAATCAATGCTTTGAGCTTAAGCTTTTTCATCTCTTTTTTCTCTTTTCTTTCTTTGCACTATTTCTTTTCTTTCCTCATGATGTAATTATTGCTTACATTTGGATCTCCTTCAGAGCAAAAACGGTGCCGTTTCACCAAGAAAAACCCAAAACTACCATTTCAAAAATGCTGAAATAACACATTCACTTTGCTTGTTGTTTTATTCCCCTCTCAAATTGCTCCCGGTAATTGCTCCAGCTGCAGCACTTCAGCAAATCCTCTCCAAACCCCAGTGGGGTGGGGGTTGGCCACAGCTGCAGGGGTGATGCCACTGGGAGAGGTCCAGGCTAGGGACCCTTGGCACTGGGGGCTTCCCCTGATCGCAGCCAGGCAGAGTCCATGAGGGCATGGAGGGAGCACCTCTGTGTAGCTCCAACACATATTTGTAAGGTATTTGGAGTCCAGATGCAGGTACTTGCAAATCAGCATGTAGAGGCTGACACAGGCTCTGCTCCTGACTCTACCCCAATTCCCGTGTGATCTCAGAGCCTCAATGTCAGTAAGGAAGAGACTTCAGAAAGTGCCTGCAGACATTTCCAGCAACACAAACCCCATGCAGAGGTTCTCCATCCCCTCCTGTGCTCCAGGAACATGCTGGGCTGAGGCACAGCTTACGCAACATGCCTTTGCAACAAGTAAAATCAGCCCTGAGCCCCCATTTGCAGCCTCAGACACATAAGCATGAAGCAAAGCTTTCATAACCAGAGCATCACAACCCATCTCTTTCTGCAATTCCCTTCTCTTCTTGTCCCTGTTCTCAGCCTTTCTGCTCAGGGGTGGCCACCCCAGGACTTGCTCTGGCTCCCAGGTACAGCATTGCCACGCTGTTGGCTTCAGCAGCCCCAAAACCAACTGCAACAGCTTTGGTCACAGCTTACAGAGATGAGCTTTCAGGAAATAAAGGGGCAGAGACAAATACTACTCTTGCTCCCAGGCAGAGCAACAAATGGAACTGCCCTGGCAAGACTCACTGAGTGCCTCACCATGGCCTTTGGATGTTACTTAAACCTGAGGGACATTTGTTCTGCTGGAAAAGAGGCTTATGTGGATAAACAACTGTGCTAATTAGCTGTTTCCCACAAAGTATTTTCATCAAGGCACCAAAATAATACCTAGTGCCTGAATTGCAACTGAACCCATTAAAGTTAATTGAGCAAGGAGGAAAGCAGCTGAAGGCTCTCCTTCTGGTCTGTCTGTGCTTTTGTGTTCATGACACGTCTAATCTTCAAGCTGGTGGTTTTGGTGAGCATCCAAGTTCCTTCCCCACTTGCCTCACTTGATGGCTCAGCTCCCCAGATTCCTGACCCCAAAGGAAGCCTCTCTTGCTGCTTTGTGGGCAAACTGAGGAGTGACAGGTGTAGTGCAATGACCACAAATGCCTTTATGTCCCATCTTCCACTTCCTCCATCCCATGCCAGTCCTTCTGTGCAGGAGAAACCAGAGAGGGAAGGGCTGGTGCTAAGCCATATGTTGGTGACCTTTCTGGTAACAGCATGATCCACGATACAGGACTCCATTTAACGCTAGCAAAATCTTTCTGAAGGGACGAGTTTCTTGCAGCTCATTCTCCTCACTGTGTCTTAGCAGATATCACTGTGGTTTGCAGTAGAGGAAATACTAACTTGACAAAGGAGGCTGCGATGAAAATGTTGTGCTGCACTTCTCACCTAAAAAAGCCACAGATGACACTTTTCACCAGGCAGTATCAGTGTGCTTCTCAGAATAATTTTGGTCAGGACTCCCCACGCAATACTAATGTATAGCAGCCCAAATGCTTTAGCTTGAGCAGCTGGCTGCAGTGGTGCTGCTGTCACAACTCCCCTGAAACATCGTGAGCATTAAGCCATGGTGCTTGGATCAGCCATGTCATTCACCCAGAGCCAGCAGTCCCAGAACTGGTGCCACCACTGCCCATGCTTGAATCCAGGAATTGGTGGTTAACAAGTGAGGAGAGCAATGCCCCAAAATCAGCCTGAGGGACGTGGGCTGATGGTGCAATCAGACTAGTGATTAAATGCTATCTGATGGACTGTGGGAATCTTTTTTGCCTTTCTTTGTGGGCAGGGAATTGGGGACTTTTGATGATAGGAACAGCTGCCTCCAGCTGCCTCCTTTGGGGCTGTGGTGGATGTTTATGCTCTCTCTGGATTTCTCCAACAGATGGTGTGAGCCTCAAAATGATTGAAGACCTGAAGGCCATGATTGACAACATCTCTCAGGAGGTTGCTCTACTGAAGGAGAAGCAAGCACTTCAGACAGGTAAAGGACTCCTTGAAGAAGGCTTGGCTTTTTCTTATAGAGTAAGAGGTGCTTTTAAAGCAGTTACCATTGTTCCGTGTGATGTTGACAAGGGATACCCAAGCAGGCCATGATGATGTGTCCATCACATGGAGCAAACTGGGGATCAAAGCACAGCGTGGTCTCTCTGCAGCTCCTCCAGGCACAGGAAGTGCCTCAGGCAGTTAATGACAAGCGTGCAGCATATGGCCCCTTTCTTTATGCCTTACAGCTTCCCATTTGCAGAGCTATTGATATTTCTATGATTCTAAGCCAGATGTTCATTTTCCGTCACGAATCAGCAAGACGGCTGATAGATTATGCTCCACTTCAGTCAAATGAGCTTTATTCTTTGCCTCAGGCTTTTGTCTGAAGCCTGGGGAGCTGGTTACCTAATCCCTCATACATTCCATGCTCTTGCCCAGGCAACCTTGATGGGGGTTGATCCGCCTATGCCTTATGTGACAGGCATGGAGTACAGGCCCCAAAATTTCTTTTTCCAGATGTGCTCCATGGTTATTCTGTGCAAATTCCATGACACCAGTAGGATGTGCAGAACACGAAACAGAAATGCACTAAAAGTGCAAGTTAAGGAGAATTTTCTCCCTAAAAGAAAAGAAACACAAGCAAAATCAAGGCTTTAGATCCAAGCTCAGTCATTGAAATGTAAGCAGTCTGGATATTAATGCATAGCTCTGATTAGCTATTCTTTAGATGGAGTACCCTGCATTCTCAGGGCTTAAAGCTTAAAAATTAAAAAGTTGCTATTCTTAACAATGAAATCAGAGGCAAGTAGAAGTTTCCTCTGAAGACCTCTACCTCTGCAAACACAACACTTCTGATCAAAACCTATTAAAAAAGACATTTTCTTCACTCTTGCGTAATCAAGATGGTTGAACTGCAATTGCAGGCTGCTGGCTGCTTTTCCCTAAATGCTCCAGCCCCCAGCAGAGATACGTTGCACCCCAAGGAACTCAATCCAGAGAGCGTAGCCTCAACTTGAGCACACCAAGGATGGGATCACCCCTGGGATCTTTCTGGGAGGCTGTTTCCAAATAGGGAGGCCATGTTCTTCCTGTGACAACGAGGGGCCCTGAGGGATGCACATGCTGTGCTTGCTGGATGTCCATTTTAAACCCAATTCTCTTGTTGTCTCTCTGTTCCATTCACGTGGCAACATCTCAGTCTGCCTGAAAGGCACCAAAATTCACCTGAAGTGCTTCCTGGCGTTCTCTGAGAGCAAGACATACCACGAAGCCAGCGAGCACTGCATCTCACAGGGCGGCACGCTGGGCACGCCGCAGGGTGGAGAGGAGAACGACGCGCTCTACGACTACATGCGAAAGAGCATCGGGAACGAGGCAGAGATCTGGCTGGGCCTCAACGACATGGCAGCCGAGGGCAAGTGGGTTGACATGACGGGTGGCCCCATCCGCTACAAGAACTGGGAGACCGAGATCACCACCCAGCCCGATGGTGGCAAGCTGGAAAACTGCGCGGCCTTGTCAGGGGTGGCGGTGGGCAAGTGGTTTGACAAGCGGTGCAAGGAGCAGCTGCCCTACGTCTGCCAGTTCATGATCGTGTAGCAGGGCTCTGTCGAGCTGTAGGATGGCTCCGTGCACGCCACACACCCGCACGCACCTCCACGTAGCGCCACGACCGGGGCAGCCGCCATGGCCTGGTATCAGGTCGGAGCTGCGCTGCCTTTCACTTGGCTGCATCCAGCCCCATTTGCATCCCTCTCCCTATGGCATGATGTATAGATATATTTTTGTACACGGGGAACTGATGAGGTGGCTTCGATGAAGACCCGGTGTGACAGCCCAGCCTCATCAATGGCCACGTGGGCTGCCCGGGCTGCCTCTCCGCAGCCTCCATTGCCACTTTGCTGAGCCTTGCTGGGACACGGCAGTGCCAGCCTGTGCCTTCTCCTCTGGCTTTGCTCCCCTGCAGGCCCTGGCACAGGGATCGGGATCCTGTCTCAGAGAGCAGAGCATGTTATTTCTGCTTTGTGCTTAGAGCCCTTGGCCTTGTACCCAAGCACTGTTGGAGCTGTTGGCCCAGTGTCATGCTGCTCAAGGGGCTGGCATGCTGAGAGGAAAAGTGTCTTTCCCACAAGCATTCCCTTTTTTTTGATCCTTTTCTCATCAGTCAGAAGAAAGTGCTTCATTTATCTCAGTGAGGGAGCTAGCCCCAGCGTCAGATCTTTCAAAATTCCTGCCATAAGCTTTATTTATCCTCCTGTACCACGCAGGAAGCAATGATCACTTGCAGTATACTCAGTCAAATATATTCTTGGGAGCAGGTGAACGTTTTAGGTAAACAAAAAATCTGCAACACTATCTAGTAATATGCTACTCTATAGAAGGCAGCTAGCTACCAAAAGCAAATCCCAACAAGTCTGACTTTAGCCACTTCAGGAGTTTTAGGGCCTGCATTAGTGATGAATTACTCCAGTCCTTGTTGGTCAAGGCCCAGTCCTCAGCAAACACAAATGTGCTGAGTACCACGTGCGCTGGTAAAGCTGAAGACCTGGCCTTGGTAACTTTCTGAGAAAAGGGTTGAAAAAATTGAAATATAAATTGGAATGATGGGAAGGCAATGACAGTCTTGCTGACACTGATTTGCTGACTGCTGGCCAAAGCACACCAGTGGCTCTTTGATGCCCAGTGCTTGGTGCCAGCCCAGTTCTTTGGGTTACACATCCCTAGCATGACGGCAGCCCACTGGGAATCATGTGTTCATGGGGAGCCCTTAGGAGAAGTGTTTCTATTTGCTGCTTTGCCTAAAACCAGCATGGTGGTGGGGCTTCCGGAATTTCATGTGGGAGAGCCAAGCTGGAGGGTCAAAACACACACACACACACAGTGCATACTTCCCAGGCTGTCATTATTGCCAAACTTTCTGCTGTTCAGATGAATATGAAATAAAAATATATATAGCTTGCTGAAGGAATGGAGTTGAATCAGTGTGGTTGGACTGCTTCCTTCTCCTTCGCCCTTCTCTTCAAAACAGCACCAGGGATCTGTCTGAGGGTAGGAGACATCAGAGGCAGAGGGCAAAAGCAGGAAGCAAGGGTCCACTGTTCTGTGACCTCATTTGTAGGATTGTCCCTCCTCTTACCATTCCAGTCAGAGGCATGGAATCCTTTTACAGGAAAATAACATTTCCTCCCTCCTCTTGCTGCTGGGAATTTTCAGGAGCCAGCCCAGAAGAAAGGTCCTTCCCTTGCCCATGCCCGGCAGCAGTGGCAATGCTGGGGAGGTGGCCCTTCCACACTTACCTACCTCCTCCTTTGTAGCCAGCAGGGCTGTGGCAGCACTAAGCATCCCCCTCCTTCCCTCACTGAGGTGGTGAGTTTCTCCCTCCTCCTCCTTCCCCTCAGCATCCCCCAAAGACCACGCAGAGCTGTGGAAGGCAGAGCTTGCCAGCAGGCCAAGGCAGCATCTTATGAGCCAGCTCATCTCCATGCATACTCTCTGGCTCCCTAGGCAGACGATCTCTCCATTTCTGAGATGTCATAGAAAATTTCTGAGATGTCATGTGTATGAAGGCAAAGTAGCAAAGCCCAAAGCCTTGCTGGCTTTGATCTTGATTGCTCGTAAACTGCAAGGTCTTAAAATGCAAATGCGCAGTCAGAGAAATAAAGAGAAGTCTTTCATAATAGCTCAGGAACAAGAGGGACAGTGTGAAAGCCACAGGTCTTGGCAGTGCTGGGCTTTGGGGAAGATGCAGGTGCACGGAGCGTGAACCTTAAAAACAGCCCTAGAGAACAATGCCAAAGGATATTCCCCATGGGAACATTAAGGAGTCAATCTGTCAAAAACTAGTTGCTCTCCTATCTCTCTCTTGCTGCCTGTTTTCACAGCATTCTGCTGCCACCAGGCACTGTCCTTCCCAGATAGTTGGCTCTTCTGGAGTTGAGATGAGCATGGGGAAAGGTGACATGACTCCTGCCATCTTGCTGGACCTGGGATGCCGTGCCTCACCTTGTACACTTAGGGGTACACTTAAGAGTTTAAAAGTTCTCTATGTGCTGCTCTTTACATTATGAACTATGGATTTTCTTTTAAAAGCTAAAGATGTGCTGTTCTTAACACAGGGAGGAGCTGAGATTTTGCATCAGCAGTTTCTTGGTGGCAGACTCTCTGCCAGATTCCTTATCCACAGTACTTCTTTTTGTTCCGAAGGCCAGAATCCACATCTTTCCTCTGTCCTGGCTCCACCTCCTTCTGCCACAGGACTGGGGCATCGAGCCTGCTCTTATGTCTCCAAACCTTACAGCAAGGCCAGATAAACCCCATTAAAATAGCAGTGTGTGGTAAGACCTTTGTCACTCATCAGGCTGTGAACCCACTGCTTGGCAGCCCTACGGGCTGGCAATGACAAGCAGGTCTGAAGGAGCAATGCTTACAAAAGCACTGAAGCACCGTGTCTTATAAAAGAGAACGTCCATCTCAGCCTTCCAGCTCTGACACACATACTGAGCAAGGAGTTCTGCTGCTGCTTCGCCAAGTGTGAGCAGAAGATGAAAGCTGAAGCTTCACGCGGCGATTCAGCCAAATCAAAACTGAGAAAAAACTCCACCGAATCCCCCTGGAGAAAACAAGATACATCGTATATTAGATAATCAGTCCCCAAACACAACTAACAAGTGGGTGGATGTAGTGAATCAGCCTAACAGCAGTGTCACATTGTTTTGCGTTTAGAGCAGGATTGTCCAGAAGCAGACTAAATTTCATCTCCATCCATGTGCAGCCTGGACGTCGCCTCCATTGTGGGGAAGATTTGGGTCCAAAACCCCTCAAGACAGGGGTTTGAGCCCCAGGCTGCAAGAGAACCATTCAGGTTGGAAAAGACCACTGAGATCACATTGTCCAGCTGCCAACCCACCCCACCATGCCCACTGCCCACGTCCCTCAGTGCCACATCCACACGGTTCTTCAACACCTCCAGGCATGGTGACTGCACCACCTCCATGGGCAGCCTGTGCCACTGCATCACTGCTCGTCCTGAGAAGAAATTCTTCCTAAAATCAAACCTGAGCCTCCCCTGGGGCAGCTTGAGGCCATCCCATCTTGTCTTACCACTTTTACATGGAAGAAGAGTCTGAGCCCTACCTCACCACAACCTCCTTTTTAGGCAGTTGAAAAGAGCAATAAGGTCTCCCCTGTGTCTCCTGTTCTCCAACTTCTCCACTTGCCTGTGCACCAGCTGGTGCAGAACACACACAGGGAAACTGGCTCCTGTATTCACTCTGTAATATGTCAGAACAGAAAGCCAAATGCTCAAATATGCCTTAAAACAGGCAACTTTTAGGAAATGGTCCAGAAATAGCATCCGTTAAAAACATGGTGAAACAATTGTCTCCATTGAAAAATGAGGACTTGGGAGGAGCTATGTGGGTGGGGTGCCGTGTACCTACAGCTGTTGACTGACAATTTTCTACACAGCCTAGAAACCGTGTGCTTTCAAGAAGGAGGCAGAGCAACAGGCAATGCTTCTTAATGATAAATGAAAACATACCCTCTGGAAAGGAAAGCACAGCATGTCATTGTAGCACATCCCCCAAGAAAGGGAGTCAAACCTGAAAGCATGTAACTGAGGAAAAAAACTCCTACGTAGCAAATGTGAAAAGCATGAAAACAAGCAAAAATAGTCATTCAGATTTCTTCCTTCTCTTAAATATTTACCTGAATTGTTTTGTTGGCCTATAGGGAGAATAGTCTGCTTTCAAACCTGCTGGAACTGCAAGTATAAGTAGCATCCACAGTCAGAAGTAAAACCATTTCACAACTTCTATCAAGCGATAAATTCACTCCAAATAGAGAGCACACATCTGTGGAGGAAAAACTGCAGTGAGCAGTGTGTGCATCCAAAAGCAAATCTTTGGTTCCCACGAGGATCAGGGAGCCTCGACGACCTGAGAGGTACATGGAAAGTCCTGATTGTAAGGACTGGGATGTGGCTGCATCAAGGGCAGCTTTGTGGCTCTTTTCCTCTTTGGGGAAGAATGAGAGAGCCGTCAGGATCTCCTGGGACATCTCTCACTTCAGCTCTCACTTGACCATGTGTGGTCTCATGTGATGGAGCAAGCTGTGTCTGAGCATCAAATAATAATACTTCAGAAGTGAGGTGATACATTATCTTCATTTATATTGACATCATGGTAGCAGGGAAATTTTCCTGTTATAAACACCACAACCCCAACAAGAAACCATTGAACCACTTACTGCTGTGGCTTGCACTTCTCACCAGTGACCCAAACATGCACATAAGAGCACATCACTGGCTAAGCTACCAACAGCAAAGCAGCTTCTCTAGAAACTCACTGCTATTGACTAAGGAGACAACGCTACTGACATATCAACATACTTCAGGCTGACTTTGTACTCCACACAGCTGCAACACTCACCAAAGTCCATGCAGGTTTTCCCAGTGTGAAATCCACAGTATTGAACATCTACATCCTAGCTAGTAAGATTATCCCTCCCTCTCTTCCCTGCAAGAATACTTGCTCCTGAAATCCTGCGGGAGGCTTCTCAGCTCCACAGCATTGCCGAGGGGTGCTTGTGGATCAGAGAAGAACCAGAGAAGATCTTCTGCTTCTGGATCTTCTCCCAGTCACTCCAGTGGAGGCTGTTCCTGTGCAGAAAGCCAAATCGAGTTGGTGGGGCTGCAGAGACCTCTGAAGGATGACTCTTAGCCTTTCAGAGTGATGTTCAAATCTTCAGAAGTTCCCAGTGTTATGTTGTCCCACAGCGTCAGAGGCAGATGGATGGGGGTAGGGGATGAACCCTCTCTGCAGTATTTCCATTACATTCTGTAGCCATGCAGCAGATGGCAGCAGAGGGGCAGTCTGCCAGAATGGTACCTGACATGGAAGTGTGTATGAAGCAAAGGTATGCCATTCCATTCCTGCATGCAGCAATGGCACCCACTGATAATCATTATCACTTGCTGAATGTTTATGGAGACCAAACAGTGGATGTGAGCACAGTGGGTGGTGCATTTCACAGTGGTGAGTGACCTAAGAGACAAACCATGCAGGGTTTTTTATTTCTTGCTGGTGAAAAAGCACAGCTAATGGCAGTGACTATGTTGAAAAACAGTGCTTTGTAGCTGAGAATTTTCTCTATCAAATAGTATTATTGTGCTCTTTGTGTCTGTTGTAGTTCCCACCGAAATAAATAAATAAATAAGAAGCACTCATTTCATAGCAAACCAGGTATTTACACACATGAGAAAGCTGTACACTGACTGCTTCAGCTGGTAATATAGTTATGTTTTATTCATTAAAAAAAAATTAAGTCACAACTTTATCTGAGGGAAAAGTAAACTTGAATTTGCGCCTGTACTCTTATTCAAAACATGAAGTAAGCACAGTAGAAGTCAACCTTAGAGTGAAAACAACTGTAAACTGACGTTTATATCACCGTACCAAAAGCTGAGTTACAATAGAACAAAAGGAAAAAAGCACAACAGTGAACAAGCATCATATTCCTCCTTCAAATTTTGAGATGTTGTAAACAAAAGCCTGACCTCTGCTCCCTTTCCATCAGTTGTTTAGAAAGAACATGAACTAGAAGATTTCACCTAAGCAGCTGCAGAAACTGAGCCAGAGGGATGAGACAGCCCTGAGTTGCTCTCAGAAACACATTTCTTTTAAAAAAAAAGAAAGGAAGAAAGGAAGGAAGAGAAGAGAAGAGAAGAGAAGAGAAGAGAAGAGAAGAGAAGAGA